TGTGTGTGTGTGCGTGTGTTGCATGTACCTGAAGGAGCTGAGATGGTGGAATTGTACGGCTGGTTTCCTGGCACCATGCAACCATGTGCTCCGGGAAAAATGTCTGGTGGAAGAAGAGGAGGTGGAGAAAGGCAGACAGAGAATATGAGCCACTGTGACAATAATTATGGGGTATGAATTTGTGACAGAAAAAAAAATGTCATGCAAATGTCATTAGTATAGTCAGCTGTCATAATATTTCACAGGAAAAGCAACGAGAAGAGGCGCTTTGTCGAAGAACTTGTCTGTCATTTCATCTCTGAGGCAAGTGGCCACTCTTTAGACCAAATTACACCAGTAAACTCTTAAATGCTTAAATGCCTCTATTTGTTTGACTGACCGCTCTAAATACTAAAAGCCATGTGGTGTAATACTGCCATGTCTTGTCAATATCAAATGATCTAAAATGAACATGAGTTAAACATCACAAATATGGAAAAACTAAATCCATAAGGAGCTGTTGCTGCAGGTTACAAGCATTAACATATTTCAAAAAGAGGACATCAGGAGCAAAACAGCACGTTAAAAAAATTACCAGGGGGTTTCTGAAGAATTCATATTTGGCATAGTTCTTCCTGAAGAGGAATTTACTGTCGCTGTTCATAGAGGCCTGGACCTGAACCACCAGCTCGTGGTCTTCTAGACAGCGCTCTGAAGTGAGACAGGCAGAAAGAGGAATGAGAACAATTAAGAGGGTTAGAATATATTATTCAGAGTGTTTTATAATTCTCCTACGACTACACTTTATAGCTCATTATAATTATAAAACTTACATTAATATAACATGTTCTGTCAAAGTAGTGAATAAGAATATGTTCACAACAGGATCACAACATTTCTGGATAAAAATGACCCATGTCAAAGAAAATCTGACATCAGTCTTTCTCCAAAGTCAAAAACAGAAAGCATAGAAAAACATTAAAATGAGGAACAGTTCACTCACTACATCTCAACAAGTAATTTGCTCTATTATTAAGCACCAATAATCTTATATCCTTAAAACAAAAAACAAAAAAAATCTTACATTTTCTTAACACCAATGCATTGTTTGTTCCAAGTGTAAATCAGTCATCCACATTCTATTTTACACTTTCTTATCAAGGTCAAGTCCTGTAAGCAACAAGTCTCTGTTGACATTAATATCTCGCTCACCCTCACACATTCACTGCCGGCTTCGACTACCTCAACACAGGTTTAAAGGATGTATTTAGGCAATGTTGAAAATTGATCCTGGGTTTCATTTGTGTGTTAGTGTTCCGTGGTCTAAAAGGATGTTAAGAAATATGGACTTGTTTTAATGGATTGTGCTCATCAAATGAGCTGTGACTGACGAGCAGACCAAGGCCTTTCTCTTTCAATGTAGGTAAAAGAGGCCATGATTCAACTGAAAGTATGTCTTTGTATGAATGTGGTCAGAGGGCCCGGTGATTTATATCCTGTGAATGTGATGTTGAAACCGGTCATGACTCAGTCAATTCCAACAGCCTTGCATGATCTCTCAGTCATGTCTTTAATAAAAGACACTCAACTTTTCCCCTGTAGATTTATTCAAATTTAGCCACGTAACTTTTGCGATACCAGAATTTGGTCTGATATCTCTCCTTTTTTATATGAAATAGAGAACTTGAGAGTAATCTGAGTGTACAGATCTATCTCGCCTCATTATCTCATTTCATGTGTCCCCTCACTCTCCCTCTTTCTCCCCACTGTCACAATCTCTCTAACACTGTCACGACTCCTCTTTTCTTTTTCGTTTCCTCCTGTCGCCTGTCTGATGAGTCACTCATGTTCGTGACAGTGACTCACCGTGCCAACACTACCTCACTGTCCCAGAGTTGTTAAGCTTTTCGGGGTGACAAGTAGAGGTCAATGTTACTTATCTCAAAGGGCCATTTTATCTCATTCAGCAGCGTACCAAGAGTGGGCAGCAATGTACGGAATAGGCCTCTCCATTTAAATACACTATTGTTCTGTTCTCTTTGAAACTCCTATTCCCAGCTACCACCCAACCACATGTGCACACATGAAGAATCACAGCACATACATGTGCAGTGCCGATGTCTGTGCGCACACACGAGCACGTACACATAAAAGCAGGACTTTCACATACTGCCTCATCCTATACTGCAAAAAGCATGTAAACTAAAAATGTCCAAAATACTCTACAAAGTAATAAGTGATTGGCTATAAACTGTATTTCTACATGTAGGCAATATCCATTTAATATATTTTGGCACTGGAAAGACATTAAACTCTTATATTACCAGTGGTTCACAACTACAAAAAAACATCAGCACTTAATGGAGAAGTAATTTAAACACAATTACAATCACAGTTTATAACTGAAAAGCAACTAGCCACATTCATCAACTATAGGAAAGGTCTGGCAATCAGACAACAAACAGAGCTCCAAATAAACCAAATCATCTAAATATCTAAATTACTGTAATGAATATATCAGACATACACAATGCATACGATTCACAAAGGGGTAACAAATACGACCAAATGGAATTCAAACCAAAATAATCCCACCCTTTAACAGCAATTGTGATACTTTAAGTTATTGTATTATTGCATTATAAACATAAATCCACAGTATGCACACATCTACAAACAAACACACTCAGTCGACCTGTAGTGGCAAATGCATAACCCTTCAATTTGAACAATCAGCACACTGCTGCTTCATTACATCTCATTTACTGAAACTCCTAAACATAAAATACGATAAGTAGTTATTCCAGACCTGAAAAGGATACGGTTGCAGTACAGGTGCGCCAGAACAGAGGAAGGGCTATAATAGAATAGAGTTACTCAGAGCCAAAAATTATGTCATTTACAACAAGCCAACCTACAGTAACTGTATTTGGCAGCATCATGTTGGCAGCACTGACGAGAAATGTAATCAGATCATGATGGATGGTGAAATATTAGGTTAGAACTTTGGGTCCTGTACTTTAAATAATGCAATATATTTTCTAAGTCTCCTATCATGACAGCATAACAACATGTGTGTGGATCTAAAACTACATTTTGTTGTCAGTTGAAACAACAGAGATGAAGTGTTTTTACATATGTTTTTCACCATGTCTCTTTATACAGTATGTTGCACTAGCAGGCTCACTGCTCTATATAAAACTACACCCCCTTCTCTCCCACATCTGTTAAACTGTACAGACATGAGCACAGAGCACAGGCTCAACTTGTCTTCCATAAGTGCTTTATAATCGCCCTCTCCTCAAGGGGAGGTTGGGTTTTCTAACGTTCAGCCGGCCACAGCTTTCCAAACTTACTGTTACACTGCCAAGTCTAACACAAAATCACCCAGACAGTAACGCAAAGCTCTCTTTCTTCTTAATGTAGCAACAAGTTAAAATTCCCCTGATTAACTCCTGGAATAAAGCATATTTTTCTACTATTGTTTTCTACTTTTTAGACTTTTAATTGTGTTATTTTAGTGCCACATTTGGTGTTTACGAATATCAAAACAATGAGTGTCCTGGTCTTGAAGCTTTTAGCAAATGGAAGCAATACCTTCCCCTCCACTTTCTCAAATACCTCCAGTAATGTTTACTCCTAAATCTATGAAGAATCTACTGTATGACATGCTACTTCTATAACTGCTATTGACTTCTAACCGACTACATTGCTGCACTTATTAAACTTAATGTTCTACATTATATTATATTATATAGTACTACATACTATTGCCCATTCCTCTTTATCATTTTGACCTTAACCACATCAGTCCCAAAGTCACAAATTCTATTTTCAGGAGAGTGGTGTTGATGGTATCGCAGCTCCGGGTCTAAAGAACCTTTAACATAACAGATAGCTTTTTAAACTCTTCATCAATCATCTCCATCACCTCTCTGCTATGTCCTTTATAGTACCAGATCGATAACATTACACCTTCTCTGATACTGAGAGGAGCACAAGTCAGCAACGGTTTTGTTACAGTTTTTATCAGTTACATCTCTACATCCTCCTAATCCATAACCTTCAATTATCACCATCTTCCTTCAGCTTCTCATCTGCCGGCTTTCACTCTGAGCCCCCCTTCGGTGACAATTTAAGAATGAAATGTCATAAAATAATATTCTGCATGACAATTGTTCTTAAAAAGTAGCTCAGGACCAATAATAATGTGGGGTGGAACTATCCTGGATGCTTGTAAAAAACAGATTCCAAGCAGTCTAGTGACCTTATATGAGCCTGTCCCAGTTAAAAATATCAGTGGAGGATGTCAAATAGCATATACAACACTCTCTGTTGCTTTCACTACCCTCTGCATAAACCATAAACTTTCTTTTTTCTCAACCACCAACACCAAATTAAATTACTCTGTATTGAGAAGAGAGTCTTAAGATATAAGCTTCGGAGATGTAACGTTTATCAGTTGCTGTGTTTGTTTAATTTATGAGCTGGACCATCAAGACTTTTCACGCTGGTTCCCCAAGAAGTCCTAGAGTATTGGTAAGCTTCTAATAAGGGCCCCTGGGACAGTCTGCAACTAACAGTAAATCAGCTGTTTACTTGCATAGAATTACTTTAAGAAAACCCTGATCTCAAACATACATCACTTTTTATTCTCTTTCAAGTGCACCACATACTGAAGTAGGAATCTCTATCTGTTCCATAACACAGTCTCTTTTAACTGCAGTTAGCAGGGCAATAATTGAATTTATCTCAACACACATGTAATCAGCAACACATTTTATGATGACAAGGTTTCAGATTATTCAGCATCTTACACCATTAAATCCATCTTTACAACAATTACCTCTTACAAATTCTTTTTTTCTTAAATTGCAATCGCCTCCTCAGTCAGAAAATCAATGTCTGTCTCAGTTTTTCACGAGTTAACAACCTAACCCTGCTTGGTCTGCATACTACTGCACTGCTACAGCAACATCACACAGCCATTGTGTTGTACTTGATTAGATCACTGGACATTATGGCTCGGTGCATGCATATGCTGTATAGTATGCACATGCACTCATGCTTGAATACATGCCTGCGTGAGAATATGCAGCTGAACTATCTGTCTGCCCAAGTATGCAGGCATGCATGCATTTACATGGATGTACCTGTCAGTGATTGTTTTGCATGTCTTAGCCCACCCAAAAGTCCATGAGTTTCTGTGTGTGTGAGTGAGTGACCGTTCATGTGTGCCTTTGTGTGCATGTGAACTGTTTCGGGCCTGCAGGGTTCTGCCCCTTACCTAGTCCTAGCAGCGGGTGGTGTTCAACAAGTGCCCAAGTGTTGTCATCCACACAATGGCTTTTATAAACCAGGAGCTGGCACAGGTCTCTGGCTGTCATGTCGGCTGGGATCTCCACCACTTTACCCATGCCGTCTTCACTGAAGATCTTCACAATCTATGAGAAAGAAATACATTAGAGCTCAGTTATAATAAACAGAGGTCATTTGACAGTAGTTTGGACACAATGCTTCTAAATATTACGTGTATCCTTAATTTGATCAAATGAAGCAAAAGATTGATAGATCTTTTCCAGTTGGCAGCTTAAATATGAATTATTATGGTAACCCCACAGGGAATACTAAGTTGTGATAAAGTCATTTAACAAGGACAATTTTTGAAAAGTCAGCCTAATAGGTGGGTGAAGCCAGCAATTTTCTTCAAACACTAGCATAGTATTCATCATATAGTGCCCCATACACTATAGCATACACAGGCCTGTAATTATAGCACACAATAGAAAAGAACAGACATTCAAGACTATGTAGCAATTGTGGCGTTAGAAATCACAGACGAGCATTTCTTAAAGCAACTTGTTGGTATAATATAGGAGCAAATATACCAAAGTGTATAACAAGCATCTGCTCTTGTGAACACAAAGGAGGACTGCCTACACCAAATGGGATATTGTACTGTAGCTTAAGGGGAAGTGAGCTTGGTGTTTCCAATTACAGCTTATCAAGAAAATGTATGCGAGTATCCAGAGATAAGACATGGCCAATGGATATGCTTCAAGTTCAACTTCATGAACACAAGTTTTCCATAACTTCACATGTTGATCTTGGGTCAGTAATATCATGGACATGTTGTTGTTTTTTTGCTGAATAATTTATGATGAATTTTCCAACCCATGAATAACAGCTGTTTTCATTTTGTTTCCATTAATAATCCTGACTCAAACACATATTGAGCCACTACTAATTTATATATACACTGTATAGCAACAGTGCATCAGGCTCCAAGTAGTTTAAACTCTAAGATTTCATCTGTGTAAGAGACATCAATTTACATTCAGATATTCCTGTATGTCAGTATATGCTGTAGGCAAACTATCCCTTGTTTAGAGATCAACAAAAAAATCAGGAAGTATAACTGCCATCCCTACTGTGGTCAATAGTCCTAAATTTACTCCACTACATGTCCACAGGTTGGCTTTTCAAAAACCCATGTAGTCACATTCACAGGATACACATCTAGTGTCCCACAGAGAAAACTAGAGCAGCCTATTTAACCTGCTGAGAAATCCAGCCTTGTTAGCCTACACAGGAATCCAGCCTACTGTACTAAGCCTACACATGTCATGTATGCACACTTCCCACATAATAGATCATGACAAAGAAATTCTGTTCTCCTCTTGCAGCTTATAGCGTCACAGTTTGCACAAAACAGGCCTGAGGCGCTCCATCTATCCAAAATGCTCAAGACGAAAAGCAAAGAAGCCTCATCATTTAAAAGCTTTTTTTTTTATTGCTCTGCTCACATCTTGAAAAAGACTAATTGTCTTCAGCTTTTAAGGTATTTACACATTGCATGTCTCTCCTCTGGTTAAGCGAAGCCGCACTTCAAAGAGAAATGGTCTTAAAATGTCAAAAGAGAAGGAGCCGAAGAGAGGCAGAGACACACAGGGAAAGATAAGAGACACAAAAAGAGAGCGGTCTTACCTCCACGGCCCGCAATAGGCAGCAGTCCGGGGAACACGAAGGCATTTTTTGGAGTGAGCCTGGCTCCCCACACACTCACACACTCACTCACAGTCACTAAGACAGAAAACCTCGCTCTTCTGTCGTCCTGTCTCCTCCAGAAAGAAAGATACAAATTTGAATGCCGACAGTTGACAGTTGCAGTTGTGCTACCTGTCACATAGCCTGGAGACTAGTCCTTCAGTCTATCTAGGCCGCCAGCTCTGTCTTAAAAAAAGAAAGAAAAGAAAACTGTCTGTGTGACCTACAGCCGGTGTCTGTACAGCCCACAGAACTAGGACACAGAGACAGTCAGTGATCAGATGGCAGCAGGTACAGTACAGTGCTTCCAGTGCCGGTTGAGTCTGACAACTATCTTTCTTTCTCTCCCTCCCTCTCTCTCTCTCTCTCTCTCTCTCTCCCCCTCACAAAGGGTTACAGCCTCAGCCACGGGCTCTGAGGCACACTGAATCAAACCACACGCTCACCAACCAATCATAAGGCTGCAGCAGGCTGATGTAATCATTCCCACACAGACCCAGGCTCACACACACACACACACATACAGAGGCACACACGCAGACTCTCTGAGAGGCATACACAGTCCGGTAGACACACAGACGCACAGTCATGCACAGACACAGCCAACTTTTTCAGACCTCTTGCGAGCTCTCTGCTTCAGTTTCTTTTCAGAGCTCGAAGCAAGAGGGTTCGTTTGAGAAAGGTGTGGGGCAGTGAGGAGGAGGAGGAGC